TAAGTTTCATAGTAAAACACATAAGGACAGAGATCCTACGATGGGAAGCATGTACCCAGTGACTCCCCGTGGTGGATTTAACAATTGGCCACTCTTATTTATGACATCATCCAATCACACAAAGACTCTTGCCATGAGGCTATCTAGGGCTATGGGAAGCCCCTTGGAGTTCACCCGACTCTGAACTTGTTTAGTCAAGGCCGTATCACAGTGGAGGTTCCTTCCTCCCTTCAGAGAAAGACACCTCCCTCCTTGATGGCCTGTTACTTCTGCTGGGGTCTTGTTCACCAGGATCTTTCATTTAGATTGTTTTTTGCCACCGTGTCATGGCTTTCCATGCCTGTGAGACTCTCATGGACCTTTTAGCCAGATCCGAATGTCCCAAGGGTTGATTCTGAGGCAGGAGTGCTGCCATTCTATGAGTCTGCTGTGTGTCCTGTTTCCCCCGCTGGATCATTCTCTCCCTTTTAATTCTATGCTTCATTAGTTGCTTACACTAGTCTTATTTGTGAAATCTCATTGACACATACCCTATCTTTTTGATCGGTTGTGTATTTATACTTATCACTTTACCAAGTGTGTTGGCATTGGTACCTGCCTCCTTGGTAAGATTGAGTTGAAATCCCCTGGCACATTTCTAGTTCCACCATTGGAGGTAAGTCCGAGTGAGCATGTGCTAACCTATATATCTCCTCCCTCTCTTATTCCCACTCCTATGTTTAACAGAGATCACTTTTCTGTTAATTTTTAAACGCCTAAGAATGGTTGTGCATTGATTACAGAGTTCAACCAGTGGTCTTATGTAGAACAAACAGAGCAACAACAACAACAACAGCAGCAAAAATACTAAAAGGAATAAAATAGTATGTTGTTCCTCAACATACTATTATCTTTATACTATATATCTTTAAGTCATTTATTTTACGCAACATTAATGTTAATATTATATAACCTTCATTTTTTAAAACATTTTCCCCTCAATTTGTGACAATCTTTAATGGATTATTTGAGAACCACTGTTTTGGTTAAAACTTGTTTGTTGTGTGTGCATGTTTGTGTTTGTATATAGGGTCAGTGATCAGGCAGAGGAAAATGAGGATCTCCAAAATATCCAGAAGAGATACAGAAACCTGAATATGAATGCGCCCAGAAATTTTGAGAGAACACGTCGTGACACCTTGCGCCAATCCACCGAAACTATTCAACTTAATAGGGGGGTAAGCATTTTCACTAAGAACCTAATGCTAATCTGCATTTACCTCAAAATAACAAACAAACAAAACTTACCTCAGTTTTTAAAATTGTTAATTCATTGAGAATTCAGAAAGGATCCTGGTAAAAATTACTAATTTCACTAACATGCATGAAAGACATGTAAATTTATACATCTGAATGTGCTGTTACTGTCTAATTTTCTCTTTTCTTTTTTTTTAACTTTTATTTAGTAAATATAAATTTCCAAAGTACAGTTTATGGATTACAATGGCTTTCCCCCCATAACTTCCCTTCCACTCGCACCGCTCCCATCTCCCACTCCCTTTCCCATTCCATTCACATCAAGATTCATTTTCAATTATCTTTATATACAGAAGATTGATTTAGTATATATTAAGTAAAGATTTCATCAGTTTGCACCCACACAGAAACACAAAGTATAAAAGACTGTTTCAGTACTAGTTATAGCATTACTTCACATTGGACAACACATTAAGGACAGATCCCACATGAGGAGTAAGTACACAGTGACTCCTGTTGTTGACTTAACAATTTGACACTCTTGTTTATGGCATCAGTAATCTCCCTAGGCTCTACTCATGAGTTGCCAAGGCTATGGAAGCCTTTTGAGTTCACCGATTTCGATCTTACTCCGACAGGGTCATAGTCAAAGTGGAAGTTCTCTCCTCGCTTCAGAGAAAGGTACCTCCTTCTTTGAAGACCTGTTCTTTCCACTGGGATCTCACTCACAGGGATCTTTCATTTAGGTGTTTTGTTTGTTTGTTTGTTTGTTTGTTTTCCCAGGGTGTCTTGGATTTCCATGCCTAAAATACTCTCATGGGCTTTTCTGCCAGATCTGCATGCCTTAAGGACTGATTCTGAGGCCAGAGTGCTGTTTAGGACATCTGCCATTCTATGAGTCTGCTGTGTATCCCTCTTCCCATGTTGGATCATTCTCTCCCTTTTTTATTCTATCAGTTAGTATTTGCAGACACTAGTCTTGTTTGTGTGATCCCTTTGACTCTTAGACCTATCAGTGTGATCAATTGTGAACTGAAATTGATCACTTGGACTAGTGAGATGGCATTGGTACATGCCACCTTGATGGGCTTGTATTGGAATCCCCTGGCACATTTCTAACTTTACCGTTTGGGGCAAGTCCGATTGAGCATGTCAGAAATTGTACATCTCCTCCCTCTCTTATTCCCACTCTTATATTTAACAGGGATATCTTTCCAGTTAAATTTAAACACCTAAGAATAATTGTGTGTTAATTCAGAGTTCAACCAATAGTACAAGAACAAAAAATAATAATAGAAGGGATAAAGTATTAAATTGTACATCAACAGTCAGGACAAGAGCTGATCAAGTCACTGTTTCTCATAAGGTCCATTTCACTTCAACAAGTTTCCCCTGTGGTGCTCAGTTAGTTGTCGCCGATCAGGGAGAAGATATGATATTTGTCCCTTTGGGAATGCCTTAATTCACTCAGCATGATGTTTTCCAGATTCCTCCATTTTATTGCAAATGACCAGATTTCATTGTTTTTGACTGCTGTATACTGTTCTATAGAACATGTCCCATAATTTCTTTATCCAGTCCACTCTTGATGGGCATTTGGGTTGGTTCCAGGTCTTAACTATTGTGAATTGAGCTGCAATAAACATTAAGCTGCAGACAGCTCTTTTGTTTGCCTCTTTAATTTCTTTGGGTAAA